GGAGAAAGAGGTCAGGACGTTTTAAATTTAACTTGTTTCCGTCTTCTCTAACAGCTAGCTTGCTAGCCGTGTGTTAGCACACTCCGGCAGTTTCCACCGAGTCCTAGAAGCTCATTTACTCACTTCATGCACAACAAGTCACTTACTACATTTAAAGTTAATCAACGGAATATGTTTGTGAATACTGTAAGCTGGGTGTTGATTTGTTAGAACTTGTGTTTCACAGAACCACGTGTAGTTCCTAATAATAGTCAACCAGACACAGTCGGTTTCTGCTAAACCATTTAAATAATCTGAACTGCTTGGAAAATCTGCCCTAAACACAAATTAAGTGAGCAAGTTTGAAAACGTTTTGGCACTTTACTCTAGCATTCAGTCATGTTAGCCTATTTGATGGAAACTACTTCCATAATTATGTCAGGGAAACAATTGTAAGATTCATAACTGGCTGTAACTACCGTACTGCACCCAGTATTCACTGTTTAACTGGTCACCATTAACTTCACACAGACTCTCACTGGTACATTTTCATCTTTAAATCACTTCCTGGTCTGCTGCCTTCATACATCGCCTCCTACATGTCTCTGTGTGAGTGCAGCTACAGCGTGCGCTCTCAGGACATCATTACCTGCAGTGTTCCCTCAGTGCGAACTGACTAGAATCCGCTCCTGTTTCCTGGAATATCTTGCTAAAAGATCTGAAGCTCTCGACCTTGACCTCTCTAAGAGGCTTCAAACATCTGCTAAGTTCCTGGAAAAACCAACGCAGACATGTTCCTGTTTTTAGTTTTCTACATTCTAGCTGTTTTTTCGCTATTTAATTATCCTTTTAATTACCATTTTATTTTCACTTGTTTAAAACAATAATAATTAATTTGTACGCATCCTGTATGATTGTCTATTGTTGTCATCACTCTTTGTTAAAATCAGGTCTCCCTGGTAAATGAGTCCCTGAGGCTCGTTGGGATTAACCTGTAGAAATAAAGGTTGAACAAATAAGACAAATGATTCAACAAGAGGATGGAAGCTTGAGTGAGTTCATGGAGGCCGAGATGGTGTAGAGGCAGGGCAGCCG